TATATATACATAAAATGATCAAAATGACAAAAGCACACAACTTACAAATTACTAAAACGTAAAAAAATTATTTCATTAATATGAAAACAGAAAATAAAAATAAAATTATATTAATATGAACTATAATAGATTATAAAGATAAAAAAGATATCTTTATAATCTATTAGAATATATCTTTATAATCTATAAGAATAAAGATATTTATATAGATAAAACTATAATAGAATATAAATTATACTAAAATAGCACTGATATAAATATTAGATAAACTAATTACTAACTGGAAATAAATACAAACTAAAACTGAACTTAAGCTAAAACTGAAAAAAAAAAAAAACTAAATTACTAAAACATAAAATTACTAAAAAAAATCAAATAAATTAAAATGAAAATTTAAAAATAAATGCTAATTCAAAGTATTAACAAAAACTATAATAGTATATAAATAACACTAAAATAACACTGCCTCAGATATGAATGTAAATCTACTGGGAGGAGAATGGGATGGATCTCAGGAACATAGAAATGATGAATTTAGCTTGATTTGGGGCTGAAGTCTAAGCTGTGGGTCTGCTCTCACCTCTTTGGTGCTCTGGATCTTCTCCAGGAAGCTGCGGAGCTCTTTGGTCTCGGCGTACAGAGCTCGACACACGGCCTGGTAGTGATTGGGCGCGTCTGCCGGCGTGGACAGGTGAAGGGCGCACAGCTACAGACAGAGAAGCTACATTCAGTTTCACTATATAATAAACCTCATGTTAAATTATGCATCACAGAGATGTCCGTGTTGGGAATACACAACGAATGTGCCATAAATGAAATAAATGGACAGAAGGTGTGGTGAGTCACTCTTGGCTTCAAAACAAAACATCAACACGGCGCTTAAATACACGCTCATAAACGCTCTCACTGTGATCAACAGATCAGAGCACAACACAAATTCTGTGAATGAATGCATGTGTACCAGAAAATAATAGCTCAGCACACACTGAGAGCTTGAGCACATTGCATTGTGGGATACAGTGTCTCATGCAGTGAGCTCTGGTTGTATACTTAACATTTCATCCGGATGTACGAACACAGAAGATATATATGTGACCCTAGACCACAAAACCAGTCATAAGGGTCAATTTTTTAAAATTGAGATTTATACATCATATGAAAGCTGAATAAAAAAGCCTTGTTAGGATAGGACGATATTTGGCCGAGATACAACTATTTGAAAATCTGGAATCT